TGGGGGAAAAAGGTTTTAATTGCTCTAATGGCTTTTATTTGGTAGTAAGTTGACAAAAAAAGTGGGTAATGAGAGAAGGGGAGGACAGGGAATTGAACCCATGACAGCTGCATTGAAAACTAGAGCCTCCATATGTGGGTTGTGCTTAACCCCTGCACCACCACAGAATACCCTGCCAGCAGTACTTTAAAACTCAGATATCTATATTAATATGTACTTTACACCGTTCTGTGTTAGATTAACACTTTCATAGTGTTAACTTTTGACAATATACACTAGTGTTGGGTAGATTAACACTGAAGTGTGTTTGATTTCAACTAGTATGAGTGTTGATTCAACTCTATCACAAATAACACTTTCAAAAGTGTAACTTCTACGCCATCCAGAGCGGACCAATATAGACACTTTCAAAGTGTTGAATTTAACTCTGTAGGAGTTGATGGAACCCTTCCAAATTTGCTGTGTACTTCCAGATAAAAAGACAGTATTTAATCTGGGTGATAAAAATTAACACTTAAAATATTTATTTTCAGTTTATGTGTGCGTTTAGGTTAGTAAAAACAAATATCAGATTTTTGCATTCAGTTGTCATTTTTGACATGGATTATAAGGCTCACTGCCCAGGGCAGCACAGATTTCTCAACCAGGTTATTGCATTTTTTTATTTGTATTTTTTTTAACATCATAACCACCCAACAGGTTTGCCTTTTATCAGTTTATCTGTTTTGAATAAATGTCACAAAGTTTTCAAATTATTTATCATGGTCTCAATTTTTACAGCACAAAAACCTTTTTTAACAGGGGTACGTATACTTTTGCATGTACTCTTCAGAGGGGCGGCATTACATAAGATTAACTTTTTTGAGCTTTACACCATTTTGTTCCCTGTTGCTTTGACTTTCATGCAAGTTTGAGAAGTCTTTTAATCTCCATGGCAACCGTTCAGCTGTGCAAAACGCCTGGGGAGACCAAGCACCGCCTTTGCCGCCTCTTTGGAGCTGCAGTTTCCATGCCTGCTTTCACATTACGGTGCACCGCTCCAGCGCAACTTCCTCACTCAGTTCCTTCAGACTAGCCAGCAGCATTAGCAAACACCTGGTGGAAACCCACACCCGCTGAGCTCATTACACAAGCTATTTTTCAGTGAAACGCTGATAAAAACGTTAAAGGATTAATAGAGCAGCGTTGCTGTGATGACTTCCTGAAGGTGGAATGCTAGAGCAGGAATTTTTAAAGAGACAAAGTCTTAAATTGTGAATTAAAATGTATTTTAAGTCATATTTGATATGTGCAGCATTTTTATAACAAATAAAGGCAGCACAGTTACTTGATTGTTCTATAAGATGATACTATGTGGCTGGAAAACACATACTAATGAACTTTTAAAATAATATCTACCTTACTTTCTATATTTATTAAGCTAATTACTCAGATTTTTTTTATAAATAAAGGATGGGTGTGTTAACTTTGTGCTCAAAGTAAAATCCAAATAATTTTCTGTAACTTGGAAGATAAAACAAAAAAACTTCAGCCAATAACATTGTACAACCGTTCCCCACTTTGGACTCTGTACAAATTAGAATCTGCATCATGTTATAGTGGAGCATAAGGCACTCGTAAAATCCTACTCTGTTTAAAGTATATCTGTTCCATAACTGAGGCCATCTGCGCACTTATTTGTTATATAAACAAGATTATTGGGAAAATGTTGATCCTTTATAAAATGATGCCCCTCGCTCCTTTTCTATCTCTTTTGTTCCTCTATTCTTTTATGAAAATGTCTGCTTGTGAGAGCAGGTGTTTGTATCCTCATATAGTAGAAAGCTTTAGCGCTCTCCCTCTTTTTCTCTTTCTCTCTCTCTCTCTTTCTCTCTCTTGCAGACAGAAATACATGTGCATGTCCAAGCACATATACACACAGGGGCGTGCGTGCAGACAGACAGTCAGCTGTGCCCTTCCCACAGCAAGTAGCACGAAAACAGAGCGCTGCCTATCCCTGCCTTACATACATACACACACGCACACACATATATATACACACACACACACACACACACACACACACACACACACACACACACGGACACACAAACTCTACAAAGAGCTCTCCACATACTCTTAAAGGGACATGACACACAATTAAACTTAGCCGTCAAGAGCCGGCACCACACCTGGACAACAACAAAGTGCATGAGTTACAGCCGCGTCGTCACTTATATCTGTTAAATGTGACTATTTGTGATTCTGTACTCAAACAGAAGAGCATGTTTGTATTCCAAAAAGTTGATTTAAGTAGACTTCTATCACTGTTTTTCTTTCAGGTCTTGCATGTTCATAGTTTAAATTGAATGCAAGATGTAAAAAAATAAACAAAAAAAAAATCATTCAAAATCAACCTGTTAAGAGCTGTAGTTCTGACACCACAATCTGTTAAAGCGCAAACATTTATGTTCAAATCAAGAAATGTTGTCTGGATTTAACTGTAAACGTGCTGAAAATTAAGCCATCTGAGCAGCAAAAATAGCAACTCATAATGATTGTGAGCAGTTTAATGAGGAAATTTTGGAGATATATGAAACATATCTTCAAATTTCACATGCAGTTCAATTGAATTGTAAATTATTTTCTACAGCATGCCCATTAGAGCCTTTTCCTTTCACTGTAGCTCTTGTTCCCATTTGGGCTGGCTTGACTCTCATTGAGAATGACCCCTGATCAAGCCAAAATAACTCCAAGTGACCTTCTGCTGTTAATATGTGTTGAATCAACGTGCTCACATTTTCTTACAACAGTAAAGCAATAAGCAATAAATCATTACTGTCCAATGCAGGTTTGAATCTTCCACCTGGTGGGCACAAATTAATAATCAGAATGAAATGTAAAGTGTAGGAAGGTTAGGGGCCAGAGAGAGTGGAGCAAAAAGAGTCTAGTGGAAGCACACTAAAACCGGTTTGCCCAAAAACTGTTTTTTTATGACCTATTATAAGCTGGGTTCAGGCTGTTAAGTTTCTATGTAGCAAATAAATTAGTTGATTTCATCGATTGAAACTTGTGTTATTTAGCACCTGCAGATTTTTGTATGCATTGACTTAAAAATATAGAAATTCCCCTAATTTTTGACCTAAATGGTTAGCGTGATCCTGTAATCACTTGAGAGAGAGAGAGAGAGAGAGAGAGAGAGAGAGAATACATTTAAAGAGAAGAAACCAAATAAATAAATAAATAAATATTGATAATCATTGATTGATTTTCTTTTCTTTCTTAAATAAAATAATAAAATGTTATAAAAATGTATAATATAATCTGATCAGGAGGTCAGTTGTGCTGCTGTGGTTGATGGGCCCCAAACTATATTCTGCCTAGGACCTCATTCAGCCTGGAGCTGGATGGGTCTGTGAACATCAAGATTTAGCTTTAAGTTAATTTATGAGGTAAATTGTAAATTGAAGGTGGTTAATTATTGTTTAGGGTGCACAAATATGACCAAAGTCACCCATTACTTCCTGTTAATATTATATATTTAGTACATTCTACTGTTTAGAATGATTAAACATAATAGTAATAGTTAAATGCAACAGTGTGACGCTGTAGATAGAAAAAAAGGGAAAAGTTGCACGAAGGCCTGAAGAATAGAACTTGAACTTGAGCGAAGTCTGTACAAACTTGGACACTGTGCCTTTAAGAAGCCCCCACCATCTCACAACAGGGGGGGCGTGAGCTGAATCCAGGAACAGCGATTGAAAAAAAAAAAAAAAAAAAAAAAAAAAGCTCCACCACTGCACTGTTTCAAGTTCCCCTCTCCGGCTGAAACCCTGCCTGATTTGTGGGCAATGTTGGGGATGTAGAAAAAAAAAAAGAGAAAAGGAAACCGGAGCAAAGAGAGCGTAAGGAAGGGAGAGATAGAGAGACAACACTAACTGGGTAGCTATGGAGATAGTAGGTTTTCCTGGTTGCTTTCTTTGACAGGTGTCGAGTGGGATAAAATAAAGTGTGAGAACAGCCTCCAAGATGTACGGCAAGGGTAAAGGAGCTGTGGTCCCCTCCGATAGCCAAGCGAGAGAAAAGTGAGTAAATTATCGCAGTGTCACAACAGCAAACCCCAGTACAGAGAGAGGAGTGTGCTAGGTGGCTAAACTTGCTAACTGATGTCGAAGCAGTTCAGCAACTTCAGACTCATGCACAAGTTTGTTACTTTAACTTTTCTTCTGTTTCTTGCAAGTGAAGCCGTGCTGCTTGTGTTTTTGCCACTTCTCCTGTGTGTGTTGTTGCCTTTTCTCGCCTCTTCTTCTTTAGCATCCTCCAACTTGCAGGCATGTCTGCTAAGTTAGCCCCAGCAACTAGCTGCAGCCAGTTTCACTCTTGTATGTAATTGTTTTGTTGCTCATGTTCAACCTAAAGCGGCTGCTAAAGTTGCGCCACTTTCTTCCCCCTCTTCTTTACACGCGTGTGTGCTTTAAATATCCAATAAGGAGCATGGAAGTGGGGAGGGATCCCACTCGAGTTTCTTCCTTTCTCCTCAGCCCCCCCACCATGGGGGAACAATGCATTTGGATTTATTGTAGCTGCGCATTTGGTATTGTATCCGATTGCCTTTTGTGTGCGTGTGTGTGTGCATATGCTTGTCTGCTCTCGGTAAAAATAGGATACAGCTGTTTTGTGGGGGGGCTTTGTTACACACTAGCCGTGTTCGTGGCTTGTTCGCGCAGGGGTTGCGAGTCTGCTGGCGCTCGGCTGCATTGGATCCACGCGTGTTTTCGGCGACTCTTCGTGCAAAAGCGGAGCGGCGCTTTGTAACTTTTGTACCCCGCTCCGTGCAGATCTTCCCCCTGGCAGCGAAAGCGACCCGCGCTGCTGCCCGGAATAGGCGCTGATCGGCGGGGTCTTTGCAAGGGAAGCTGCAGCCCCCTCTGAGCCTCTTTGTCTGCATGCCTCAGTCTCGCCCAGCACGCAGCTCCCCTTCTCAACACTTCAATAAGACAGATCGCTTCCAGATTGACCTTAAATATCAATTCAATAATCACCCGGTGCATTAGCGGGCCAATCAGGGGCCACTGACCCGGGTGAGCCTCCCTTGATGTCATCCTACTGCTATCCCGATTTGGTTGGTGTTAAAACTTTGTGGACTGCACTTTTTTTTTTTTTTTTTAATGCATTTGCAATCAAACCGGGACAGAACCTGAGTTTAGATCAACAGGCACCTCTTTGTTTTCTCAAAGCTCTTCCTCATCTCTTTCTTCATCTGCTGCACCTCAGTCCTCATCCCTCACATTGCTGTTGAATTATTGAGACTGACCGAAGCAGCTGCTCTCAGCTTTGCGTCAAGAGTTGAGAGAGAGATGGAGGAGAGAAGAAGAAGAGGAGGAGGAAGATGTGGTGGGCAGACTCATCCATGTTTAAAGAGGGGGTTTTGTCGCGAGCCCTGGGCGAGGTGTCAGATGTACTGATGGAAGAGAATGCGTTTGCGCGCCGATGTCTCCCATCCTAGAAGTTTCGAGGGAGAGAGGGGGGACGGGGAGGTCAAAGGGCACCGTGCTTTCCTCTGTTCTCCGCGTTAACTTTTAAACTCGCTCCGCTGCTTCGTTTGTCCTGCAGGAAGTGGAATCTTTCTCCTCCTCTTTGCTCCTGGAGTGGCTCATCTCCTCAAACTTCTCCTGCTTTTCAGTGAGCCAGCTCGCAAGCTTTAATAATGCAGCAGGCCAGGTGCATGCACAAGCAGCCCCTTACACAACACACACACGGACACGCACGCACGTCGACACCACGCATAAAATTTTCATCGTAGGTCTCATGAAGGATGGGAGGGCATCGGCAGCATGATCCTCCCATCCCCAAACATGCGAATGGAGTCCTTAAACATCTCCTACTGCGGGTCAAACTCCTCTAAGGATGCACATGTATCAAGCCTGCACAGAGCAGGGAGATGGTATCAATATTTGAAGACTTTGCTGGATCCTGCGAGCTTTTGCCAGGCATCTCAAAACTCCTCCAAATCACTTTAAATCTATAGGTGTTTAAATGAGATTGGGCACCAGTATAGTTGCTTGAAGGGTGTAATGTGTGTGTGTGTGTGTGTGTGTGTGTGTGTGTGTGTGTGGGCCAGTGCTAGACTGACCTGCAAGTGGCAGTGACTTACACTCTACACCAGCGGTCAAAGAGAGCTTTGTGACCTACAAATTGCTGGAAACCTCAGAAAGTGGTCAGATTCCCCTGGCTGCAGTGGTCAAGTGTTTTTGTTGCTCAGCGGAAGGGAAGTCTCCATCCTCCTGCCTTTACTGGTCATTTCTAGTTACGAACTCTGACCCTTGTTCAATCGGGTAGTAGTTAAAGTAGTTGCAGCGATGATTAGCTTGAATTATTCTGGGAAGTAAGGAATTCAAGACGGCTTCTGCGTTGTCTCGAAGGCGTAGTCCACATGTAGCCGGATATCTCAGGAAACAAAAATAATTTTTATGCTTTATTCATTTAATATCTCTAAAAATAATTGTGAATAAAAACTCTGACCAAAGTGGAGTTTTGGATAAAACTCCCAGTTTGTGTGGACATGAGAAAATGGAGATTTAGGGCCCCGTGCATTACAGTCTGTGACAAATAGTGCACGGATATATCGGCATGTTTGCTTTGACGTGATTCCCAATCAACATCGTCTTGTATTTTACTGACTTTATATTCTAATCCACTATTTAAAAGTAGTTCAACCTATAAACCTTTATATATATCTTTCCGCACAAATGAACCTCCTACCGTCATGTTAAGTTCCTACTAGGAAGTCGTGGTGGTTTTGAAGCGATATGATTGGCTGACATAGGTTTTAGCTTTGCGCTACACTGCCCCCTGTGGGTTTGGCATGTTTAAAACAACGCTCAGGTGTTAAACAATGCGGCGGAGATATTTGTTTTAATAAAGACCCAGCTACATGTGTACATTTCCTAAGTTTAAACTGCCTTGTTGCTGAAAAAGTGCTTTATAAATAAAACTTATTCTTCTTAAGTTTGCCTATTTGTATATCTTTTTTTGTATGTTAGTGTGAAAGCGAACCCTCTGACAGACAGTTCATGGTGTCTATGTATATAAACATGGACAGATTGAATCTATCAATGCATGACACTAAAGCCTACTAATGTTTAACCTGAACTGACCCATTTACAGCCAAACACTGTTGTCAGTGTTATTATGGGACTGTAGTCGTCCAGATGGAGCGTTTAAACGTTTTGTCACAAGGGATCAAAATCGTCCCCTCAAAAGTACCTGCTAGCCAAAAATATATAAGTTTTAAGAACTAACATCACCAAAAATATTTTTCTTTTTTTACCTAGTCAACGACAAACTATAAACCATGTTAATGAATGGAATAAAGTAATTGTTTTTCTTTGTAGGAACAGGATCATACATCCAAAACCTCAAATAATTTCATGTTTTCCTTGTTAAATGAAAGGCAACCAGTTTATTTTGTGCCAAATTGAAGAAAACTGTACAAAAAAACCCCACATTTCCGCAATAAAAACAGGATTTAGGTCAGTCTTAATTTGAAAACACTCACCAGGTTTTCATACAGCAATTGAATGCAGATTTGGCTGAACCAAGGTGTACTTTAGGGTATAAGGCAATGAGTAGTTGTGGTCCTATTTACAACGAAAATTTGAAGGAAAACAGAAAGCTTGGAAAAGAAAAAATTTTTTTTTGGTATTTTTATGAGCAGATTTTAATTTAAAAGTTATGGTTTTGTCCTAATTTGTAAATTTATTTGTTGAATTGTGGTCTGGAGGAATAGGGAAAAAAAAAAAATAGTCCAGGTGCCACAAATAGCTGGTTGGTCACATTACGAACACCCTTGACCTGGAGTACCGCATGGCACTGTTATTTCGAATCTTGTTAAAAATAATCTTCATTTTCCACTTGATTCAACGTTAAATCACATTTGGATTTGAAAGCTAGTAAATACAGAACCAGTGGTCAGTTTTGGGGTTGATTTCTGAACACTGATTTTTGTAGAACATTGACCTGTTATATATTAAGAAGAATAATCTTGACTTTTGACTTGGCCTTCTCGTGTCAGGGGTCAAATTATTTACACCGTTTTTGACTTTTTGTCGTTTAAAACAAAAGCTGCATTGTTCTGGAGTTTACACTTTAAGCAGTCGTTAGCTATTTATATTAGCAACTAGAATAAGTAGTGTGTCTAGACGCACTAATGTAGATTCCTACTATAAAGCTGATATTTCCAAACATATCCAGCAGGCCTCGTAACAGACTCTACTGGATGAAACGGAGCAACTTTGCTGTAATCCATTCAGCCTCCCTATTATCTACTAAAAGCCTCGCTCTCCCTCGGACCCTCAGTAAACAGCGGACATGCCTGGACATATAGTCATATAGTGGAAATAGAACAGTTTCTATTTTTTTTTACAACTTTTTGTTTCTCTGTGTTTTACTTTAAGTTGTCACTGTTACTTTCTCTTTCTATGCCAGCTTCCATATTGAAGCGAGTTATTGTAAAAGCAACCTGGTTGCCCTTGGGTGTGGTGCGTTCGCTGGTTGCCCTTGGGTGTGGTGCGTTCGCTGACAAAAAAAAAACAAAACAAAAAAAACAGATATGTTTTTTCCTGACATTCCAATGACTGTTTAGGACAGATCAAGCTAAAAATTTACTAATTACAATGCCTTGCTGATTTTCCAATAGTATGCACATATTTCATTTAGTTATGTCAAGGGATTTTTTGCAGTGTGACCTTTTATAAACCAGTTTGATATTCATTACATGCACAAGGTGGCATTGGAGAAATGCCCTCACTAGGACCAAACTGCTTGTGAAGGAACGCTATTTTAGCTTTTTAACATCTTGATCAATAAAAATCAGTTTCCGTTTCCTCCAAACAGTTTTTTTCCCCCCAATACAAACTTAAATAGCGATTCATCAATCAATCAACTGGTAATCAAAATTTGAAACATCTTATAATAATAATGATAATGAACATTTTATTCTTTTATCAATTACATCAAAATTAAAATTCACACTGTTCTCAGTCTGTTAACACAAAGGTTGTGTTTTTTCATTTCCCACCTGATT